CAGGGATCCTCTAATCTTAAGACAGCTTCAGCCTCTCACGCCAAGCCTGAGAGTCCCATGAATGGCTGAAGAGACTCACCTTGGTGACAGAGGCTCAGCAGAGCATGTCTTGCACTTATAACACTACTTTTATTTTTCTTCATCACTATTATTTGCTTAACAGTCACGCACACATTACTCGTTTTTTCAAAAGTTGGCCCTGAACCCCAATTCAAGGACCCATGTACGTTCAGAGAGTTCCCAAGATTCCTGAGACAAACTTCCCTGTGCTTCTCCCTGGCTTCACTGCCCAAATCTGAGGGGCATGTTTTTCAGTTCATCTCCACTGCACATCTCTGTAGATGTAAAGCCCCACTCTTGTCACAAGAATGCCCACCACACCTGGTACTTTGTAACACTTAGTAATGATGGGAAGAATCACATCACTATGCAGGCATGGTTTTCATCAACAAGCTGGATCTATGGCTCAAGCACATATTCCCAGGTGGGACCCTCCCAAACGGACAGCCCTCTGGGGAGTGGGTTCAGTCACCTCCCACCATTACTTCCTCTGCCTTCCAAGCCCCCTAATTTTGGAGAATACCCTTTTCTCTATATTAGTACATCAGTAACCCTTTGCTTATATATATGGAACTTCTGGACAGTTCTGAGCATTTCTGATCATATTCAGTGGCCTGTTCTCAACAGGTTTTAGGGTTTTGTTTTTTTTTTTAGCGAGTTCAAAAGTGTCTTCAAATGATTTACCAAATGATGAATTTATGTGTACCCAGAAACCGAACAGTTCGGCTACTTTATTTTTTTTTTAAAGATTTTATTTATTTACTTGACAGAGAGAGACATAGCGAGAGAGGGAACACAAGCAGGGGGAGTGGGAGAGGGAGAAGCAGGCTTCCCACCAAGCAGGGCGTCAGATGCGGGGCTCAATCCCAGGACCCTGGGATCAGGAACTGAGCCAAAGGCAGACGCTTAATGACTGAGCCACCCAGGTGCCCCCAGTTCTACTTTAAATTAGTGTCTTCGCATTTTTGACATATGCACCAGATTCAAAAATGCACCAGATTCAAAAATACTCTTTAAAAAGTGTCAATCTTCAATTCACTGTCCTCTGCTTTTGTTTTTCCTATTGCGTTTGTTTTTGGAGTAAATTGTTAACTTGGGAAATCGGCATTGGGTCAGACAAAGCTGAGCTCTACTGGTGTAACTCAGATATCCTTCCAGTTTTGAGCACAGTGTCTGAATTGCATAAACACCACAGTGTAGCATGAGAGTGTTGCCATGACATCTTGGACTCATTTTTCTGACTGGTTTTTCAACAGCACACTGGTAGTAGGGAGTCCACAGTGCCTACCCTGATGTAAGAGATGCATGCCACTCAGAGTGACCTCTCCTACTCTGTCTTCTCTATCATTGGGTCTCTTCTGATCAATTCCAGCACTAAAGTCACCAAGTGGGAAGGCTCTAAGTGTGTCTCCGGTCACAAGAAGACAGATTGGGGCTCCCGTATTTCCCCCTCAGTATTTTCTGTAGATCAAATGTTAAAACATAAGCACTGCTAACACCAGCATAATGGTTCCCTGCTAAATTTCAGCAAAAGGTCATAAAGTTCTCAATTAATTTCAACAGGAGTGCTTTATAGTTACGATTTTGATCAGAAAGCCCTTGGTTGTCCAGAAACCTCAAGGGTTCTGTTATCCTTCATAAATGCACTTTTTCCTTTAAGCATCATGCTTAAAAAAAAAAAAAAAAGCATTTGGGGTATACTGCAAAAGCTCATGCCTTCTTAAATTGGACATACAGAACGTCATTCAAACTGTTCTTGATGCATAAAGGACATTGTGAACATCAGTTACTAGGCTACAAAACAGAGTTCGGAAGACATATCAAAATACATAAAATTTCACTGTATTGCTTACATTAAATACTTATATTAGATAGCCCTAAAATTCTATGCTTTTAATTCCTGTGCCTTTTAAATTTTATTTCATTTTTTTTTATTTTTTTCTGTTTCTTACATTACTAGTACTTCTCACTGGCACTTACCCGAAAGAACTTTAATAACCCCTGTCCTGTACTGTGTCAATCTCTCCCAATTTGTTAGTGGTACAAAATTAAATTAAATTCAAATTAAAACGAAGCCCCTTAGAAATTTACATAAACGAAAACTTCTGAAAGAAAGTATGAAATGTTCTGCAGTGGTCAAAATCTATGAATTGTAGTTCATGGACTTTATGACATCCCCCCTGGGTAAGTGAAATTGTGCCAATGTGAGTTTCAGATTGCTGTGATGTTATCCTGATCCTGGCTTGCTACAGAGCACAGGTTACTTTTCAGCCCGTGTCATTTTCTGCTCAAGATATTTCAGTGGGCTTGGTAAGGCTATGATGAGGATACCCACTTTACAGATGAAACACAACATTGGTCGACATGTGGCCGAGCCTGGCCTGAAACACCAGCAATGCCTGCTCAGGCAGCCAGTGTTCCCTGCCCTACTTTCCCTGGGCTTCTGCAGATTTGCAAACATGCTCTGATCCCCCCAGAAACGGAAAGAAGGACAGCATGTCAGAGCATCCCTGGTGGACATTGTGGAGGCAGAAAAGAACCTGAAAGACATCAGGAACTCACAGAACAGGAAGTGGGAGACAAGTTCAAAGCTATCCAGCTGTCACAGGGCTTTTTCTCCATTATCTCCAATCAAGTTGGGGCCTGGAATCTGCCAGGACTTCAGACTAAATGCGTCTTCTTTTTGTGGGGAACTTTTACACACTCAGTGCCTCAAAAGCCCACTTGGCCAGGACCCCGAATGCAGCACACCCTTCTCCACTCCAAGGAAGGTGGCTGCCTCTGCAACACAAGGGGCGGAGACAAGCCAAGCACGGAGCCAGCTGAATACAGCCTGATCCACTGCCGTGTGTACATGTTAGTAGCTGGCTCTGACAGCGGACCCACCAGGGTGCTGGAGGGAAAAAAACAAGTTTAGTCTGAAGAGGCCAGACTTTCCCATCAAATTAATAAGTCTACCCAGCAGCCCTAGGCTGAGTTGCTAAGGGGTGTGATAAAGGAGCCCCATGTGACAACTCTGCGCCTTCTGGGTGCCTTCACTAAGCAGAATGGGGAGGAAGAACAGAGAGTAAAGTGTGATCCATACCTTCCCCTCCTGCCTGCGGCTCTCCAGATCTCAGTGGGACAGCTGTTCTCCTATCTCCCCCCCAAAATAACCCCACAACATTTTAATGCAAGAATGCAAAGGGTCTCGGGCCTCTGCCAAAGTCATCACAGTTTTAAAGAGCAAAGGCCAAGCAGCTCAGCTGCCTCTGAGGTTTTCTCAAGCCCCACAGGGTGGCCCAACCCCAGAGCAAAACTGAAACCCCAGCAGGGCAGAAACTCTTCCCTTCCAGTAGGCATGAAGAATAGCTGGGACCTAAAGCAAGTGAGCCTGGGCCTGTCACCCTGGATTCAGGATCGTGCTCTCCCTTCAGTGAGGAACCCAAGGGGCACTGCACGGGTGATTCCCACCTTCTACAGGGCTGAAGACGGGTGGGATGACCAAAGGAAAATTCAGACAGGCAATGACTAGCTGAAAGGGATGTGGGAGGGTCTTCAGATCAACACCAACCCCAAGCCAGCGCCACCCTGTCCCCAATAAACACACGGTCTTTGCCCCTGTGTGTGTCACAGAAGTTGCTCAAATTGCTCCACTTTTCCCCACACTCTCCCTGCCCCCCAGCATACACATAGTTACATAAAAACATCTTAAACGTGGGACCCAACTCCTTCAGTCCGGGGGAGGACCGGGAAATGATGGGGAGCTGCTCGGGCGCACGGTCTGATCATTAGTTGGAGTTACATAATCACACAGACAAGGGCTGGAGAAGGTTCCCTGGAGATCAGTTCAGTGCACACCCCATTCTCCGCCACCCCCCACCCCCAAAGCCCGGAAAGCGAGCCAGTTTTAACACAACCGAAGCACAAGATGTGGCTTGGAGCAGGGGCGTGGTGGGGGGCATTTTGCTGCTGCTGTGGCAATGCCAAGGGCTGCCAGAAACAGACCCTCCTGTCTGCAACCACTGCCCCCAAAGTTCCAGGGACGGCCGAGCCACAGAAGTTGTCCTGACCTGCATCGTAAACCGAGGCAGCCACGTTCAAGGAAAGCAACGCGCGGCCTCCCAGCTCCTCTACACCACTTGGGTCCCAGTCTCTGCGGATTCAGGCTGTCCGCCACGCTCAGCAGTCCCCAGGCAGCCCGTGCAGTCTCAACCTGGGCCATTCTGCGCCACCAGTGTTTCTAATTTTAAAAGATGGTAAAATGTGGGGCACAGCTTGGAGAGGGGGGCACCCGCTTTGCTAGCAGTAAGGCAAGAATCCCCAACAGAGCAGGAGTTTGGTTTCTGTTTGGTTTTGTTTGCAGGGGAGGCAGCTTGTGATTCTGCTTTAGGAACATGGGGAGGGGGGTGGCGGTTAAGGGGAGAAGGGAAAGCTCTCCCTCTGCTTTGGCACACAGCATCTCCCCTTCCCCCCGCCCCCCCCAATCTCCTTTTCGGCAGCAGAGACCGCTCGGGTGGCCCTGAACCACCCCGGAGCAGCAGCAGGCAGCGCAGGTGCTGCGGCGGCGAGGTGATCGCCGGACCGCGGAGGCTCCCGAGCGAGCCTGGGGGGGGGGGCGGGGAGGGGGCCGGGGCGGGGTGCGGGTGCGGGGCGGTGGCGGGCGAGCGGGGAGCGCGCGGCGCGCACAGGGTTACAGCCGCGGCCGCTGGATTGACGCGCGGGGGTCACCTGAGGCTCGCGCCGCTCCCCAGGCACCAGGCCGAGCAGTCGCTCTGCCCACCGAGGGCACCGCACGCCGCGCGGCCGCCCACCCGGACACCTTGCCCAAGAAAGGCAACGACAAGATGGAATCGCAGCCCGCTATTCCACTTCCCTGTGGCGGCCGCAGGCAAAAAGCACAATAAATAAAATCAAGCGCACGGAATCCATCCGCCGAATAAAAATCCAGAGTCCCCTACCTTCGGCCTTGGGATGGCAAACTGGTCCTGTGTTCTCTGACCCACGGATCCAGCCCCTTCTTCATGAATTATTCCGGTCAGTCGGGATTTTGTGCATTTTTTTCATGAACACCTGTTTCAAGTAAGGGGTAAAGACCTTATTGAAAGAATTGTCCTTAAAAAATAATGTGTGCATACATATGCCCATCCAGGCATGCATGCGTGTTTGTATACACACATATGCACACAGAATGTACATGTACATTGAAGCACCAAACTAGGCAGTTGGATAATGGGAGAGTCGGCTGGTTGTGAGCATGCTCACGCCGGGAACAGATCCACCCTCTGTTATTCCTCTGAATAAATATAAATCACGATCAGAAACCCAAACAGTAGCATCCCTCTTGAATTCCTGCTGCTGAAAAACACGGAATAAATTCAGCCCGCAGACACAGAATCTAATCAGCAGCTGTTTGCTGAATCCAGAGCCAACCCATGCCTCGCTTGTCTTTTCCACTATGAGTCCAGACCTTTTTCTGAAAGAGGTTTTAACCTTTTAAAGATACAGTACACCAATTACCACTTTTGAATAGGTATTCCTCCAAGCGCAGGGAGGCTAGTCCCATGCCTACAGCCACAGGGCAGGATTGCATAAAGTGATAATGATTTCATTTATCTGTGGCTTTTGAACAAAATACAGCGAAAGAGAAAGAATGCAAATGCAAGGTATAAACCTAGAGACATATTTATTGCAGTGATGGGCTTCTCCGGGACTAATAAGCATGTTATGTAAACACTATGATCCTTCACTTCTGAACACACATATTCACAGGGTCAGACAATGCAGGAGGACACCTATCACCCCTCGAAAGCCCCTAAATGCTGTCAGAGGACCAGGAAGCCTGCCAAAGAGGCTGAAGGAAGTGGGGACTTGTGCCACCTCAAGAGTTAACCACAGGGTACTCTTGCCCTGTCTTACCCTACAGCTTCAGGTGGCCCTGTCCTCAAACTAAAGGATCCTTCCGGCACTATTTCTAAAGTATAATGTAATCCAGGACCAGATCTTATTCCAAGACATTTTTTTTTCTCCAACCAGAATCTGGAATCAAAACTACCACCTGAACCTTTAGAGTCTCTAAGATTCAGACTTAGGCCCTTCTTCAAGATTTTGTTAACAACACTTTTTTTTTTCAGGGCTAGGTTGAGCACAGAGATAGAAAAATGCAGTGGGGGAGGGCGAGATAACCCCCAGCCCCCATTTTTTTTTAATTATTCATTAAGTATTTCAGCCACCCGGATGGTATTTGTTCCAGTTTTGTTTTGGCTTTTAAAGCACTGAGCAGGAACCAAAACTCCTAACCTCACTTATGTTTGAAAGGAAGGAAAATGCCCTTGACAGTTGCTTTTTCACCCCAGGAGCCCCCAAGCTCCAGAATGGCACTGGCTGCTTCTCCTCTGGTTCCCACCCAGCAGCAGTAGCAGCTTACCTGAAGAGCAACCCTGGGGTTCCTACAGCCACTCCCTGGGGCACGTCCCTCTAGCCCTAGCATCAGAGCACATTCCTTCCCTTGGCAAACCACTAAAACCAATGCGCTGTCCCCCTCCCACCTCGTGGCAGGCACTGCCTCTGCTGAGCCCTCCCAGCCACACACACACTCTCTCTCTCTCTCTCTCTCCTCTCCTCTCTTCCAGGGCTCTTTAGCAGAAAATTATCATATTTCATGTGTCATCGCCCTAGCTAGCTGGGCCCGTCCCTGATTGGCTGGGCACTGGCAGCCGGAAATGTCACCAGCCACACAGGTTGGAACTGGCTCTCCTGCGGCCACCAGCGACCTGAGCCCAGGAGGCAATGTGACAAGGCTCAGACCTACCACAGGGAGCCCGGCACTCCTCTCCCTGGTCTGGCCCCTTGCCCTCTCCCGGCTTCTCCCTGTACCCAGCCCTGGGGGGAGGGGACAGCCAGGGGATGTGGACAGAGTCTCCAGCCACGCTGGGAGCCAGAGCTGTCTCCAGCTGTAGGGAGAGAGGGAGATGCTGAAATTCCTGCTCTTCCCAGCATGTTGGGGAAGAAACTAGAGATGTCTCCATTCGGTTTTAAAGTGTTCCCGACAAAAGCAGTCTCTCACATTCAAAAAACAAAACAAAAAAAATTATCAGTAAGGCTGGGTGAAGACAAGATTTTTTCCCCCTTGGGAGTTTATCTGCTGCTGTTCTTTATTCCCCATCCAACATTTCCTGCACCAAGGTATCATAATCGTAATATCCCAAGGCTGTCAGGGACCCAGAAGGCGGCTCAGTCCAACCTCTTCCCTTAACAGAACAGCCCTGACCCTCCAGAAAACTACCAGAGAAGGAAGGAAGATTCTTCACTTGGCTTTGCAATGTCTCATGGTATCACACAACTTTTTAAGAGTTAAATGGCCCTCTCAGTGACCAACCCGAGTCACCACGGCTGTAATTTACGCTTGGTCCCTCTTGCCCTATCTTCAGCACGTTTAATGTGACTCGCCATTTGTCTCACCTCATTCTGTTCTCCTGACCAAATTAAATCCTATCTCTGGGAACCTTTTTGTGAAAGTTGATTCTCAAGCCTTTAATTATGCTGCTTTATTCTCTAGACTTTAGAGCAAAGCCTCCCAGACCTAGATGAGACTGAAAGGTCATTTGGTCCAGAATCCATATGATGCTTCATTCCCCTCTATTTCCACTCTGGAGCTTTGGGTCTTTGGGATGGTAAACTGGAACATATATTTACTCCACTCCTCCAAAAAAATAAAAATTTATATAACCAAAATACGAGTGGCAGTGCTGGGAGCCAGAGAGAGATGCCATCAATAAAGCCAACATTTTGGAAAATATGAGGAAGACGTAAAGTAAATGGGATGTGGGTGAGGAAAAGTTGATCAGTGCTGATAAAGTCATGGTTCTGCACAGACCTCCCAAGAAGAAAGTGCACAGGTTTCCAGAAAAGGGTCCTGGAAAATCCCAAGCTCAAAGGATCAGAGAGTTAAAACAAAGGTCATGGGCATCAGTTCAGAAGCAAATTAAAAGACATCAGGAACTAAGCTGGTTCTCTCCACATGGAATGGCAGTCATCCCACAGCATCTTTGGAAAGTGGAAAATTTGTCCCTAATACAGGTAGAAGTCAGAGGCTGAACTGGGGCAAGACCCCAGCTCATTTGGGAATGAGGAGAAGAAGGAGGAAGAAGAGAAGGTTATTTAAGTAATCAGATTAGACACAAGATTTAACAGAGATCCAGAATATCCAAAATTACTCTGACAGGAGTTCCAGAAAGAGACAACATTATTTATGAATGCAATAATCATGGGAGAAAAAGATTTCCTTAAGTTGAAGAAAGACTTTAGGCCTTAGATCATGTAAGTCTAAGTGCTAGGCCGCAGTATAACCGAAAGAATACACGATTCTAGATGTAGGCTGATACTCAAAAAACAAGGAGAAACAACTACAAGCTTCCTGATAGGGGAGAAAAATCAGGCTACTTAAAAGAAAAGAAAATCAGACTGATATCATACTTCTCATCTTCAATGCTCTGCGAAAAGACAGTGGCACAGTTTTTACAGAATTCTAAGAGAATGTTACTGTAACTCAAGAATTCTACCACGTGCCAAACTATAATTTCTCTCATATGTGATGACAAAAGAAAGGCATGTTCAAAGACACAGAAATTATATCACCCCAATACCTTTATTAAATTTTTAAAAAATTATTTGAAGATCTATTCTGGCCAAGAAAAAAAAAATAAGCCACAGAATAATGAACTCAAGAAAGGAGAAGATATGTTATATAAGAAAATGTAATGAGGAATAAAGCCAATAGAAGGTATGGTTAAGTATAAAAAAACTGATAATGTGGTTGTAAAGTTTAAATGTGAGAAGTTTTGAAATATTAGACAGACGGAGATATCCAGAATTAAACTTTCATATGATTTCAACAACAACAGAAAAATGAAAATCTCAATAGAATGAGTAAGTAAAATCACTTGAATGAAAAAAATAGGATGAGAGGATTATTATGGAAGGCAGACAATTAGAATTGCATCTATCTCCTCTCTTCCCACGACCACATAATAAGGAAGTTTGTTTTTTTTTTTAAAGATTCTATTTATTTATTTGAGAGAGAGAGAACGAGAGATAGAGAACATGAGAGGGAAGAGGGTCAGAGGGAGAAGCAGACTCCCCGCCGAGCAGGGAGCCCGATTCGGAACTCGATCCCGGGACTCCAGAATCATGACCCGAGCCAAAGGCAGTCGCTTAACCAACTGAGCCACCCAGGCGCCCAATAAGGAAGTTTTTTAAGTTGAAATACAGAATGACAAAGAAAACAGTAGAAGAGCTATTAGCCAAGAAAATTGAAAAAGGAGGATTGGGGGAGGGGACTGAATTTATCAACTATAAATATACACTTCAATAATATAGTAAATAAAACAGTATATAGCACAGATTGTAGAAACCCACAAAATGGATTAATGGAAATGAATAAAGTCAAGTAACAGATTCAAGTGTAGCATTTGCTGAAAACTGAATTTTAAATCAATAGGGTAAAGAATGTATTATTCAATAAATAATGTCAGACTGTGGTTATTTAAAAAAATATATTACTTCTAAATCATACCTTATACAAAATATATTCTATCTTCACAAAAAAAACCACAAGAAAAAGTAGATGTTATGATTGATCTATAAATCATAGAATGTTATAAAGTTGTTGTTTTTCTTCCTAATAGTGTTAAAAAAATAATGTGGTTATCCCCTCTCTGCTTAAACACCATTGTGGTAGGCTCCCAAAGATATCCACTTCCAAATCTCTGGAAACTCTATTACCTTATATGGCAAAAAGTGTGATTAATTTAAGGATCTTGAGATGGGGAGATTATCCTGCATTATCTGGGAGGGCCCTAAATGTAATCAAAGTATCCTTATAAGAGGGAGGCGGAGGGCAGAGAGGAGAAGGCAATGTGACCACAGAGGCTGATATGGCCACAAACTGGGAAGTGATATGGCCACAAAGTGGGAAGCCACCATAAGCTTGGAAGAGGCAAAGAACAGTCGTTCCCTAGAGGCTCTGGAAGGAGCACAGCCCTGATGACCCCTTGATTTCAGCCCAGTGAAACTGATTTCAGATTTCTGGCCTCCAGAACTCTAAGCAAATAAATACCTTGTTTTAAGCCACCAAGTTTGTGGTCATCTGCTACAGTAGCCGTAGGAAACCAATATAGGCACCATGATGAGAGACAGAGTACTTCCTAGTGGGTATAATAATGATTATTGCCGGCAACAACACTTACTCTGTGCCTGGTGCTGCTAAACTATATCCATATTTAATTTCATTTAATTTGCATGGGAGTAGGCAGTAGAGAGTTGTAGTTACTATGATTCTAGCACTTAGTAGCATGTATGCCTCAGCGTGTTAATATAACCTTCTAATGCTGCTTTACCTCACCTGGAAAGTAGAGGTAAGAATGGCACCTACCTGCTGGGATTGTTAAGAACAAAGTGAGACCATCTATGTAAAGTGCTTAGTGCCTGGTTATAAGGGCTCCATAAATGAGAAAGTCCTTCCTTATGCTGGGCTGCAGTCTGTCTCTAGTGCATCCTCTCACTGATTCTAGTTCTGCCCTTTGGATACATACTAACTACTTAACTGTCATTCAAATCTCTGAAGACAATGCCGTCAAGAATCTTAGGTTCTCCAAACTAAAAGTAACCAATGCCTTCTATAATTGTTCTTGCAAATTCATCCAGAGTCCTTTCCCATCATGATCACCAACCCTGAACACATTTCTTATACATCTTAGGATTTGGTCCCAGGCTCATCACCATCATTGTTCTGGAATAGGAGTTGGAAAAACTCCTTTGGTGCAGACTATTTATATATATATATAATCCATGAGCTAAGAATGGTTTTTACACATTTAATGGATTGTAAAAAACAAAAGCAGGGCACCTGAGTGGGTCCGTCTGTTAAGTGTCTGCCTTCAGCTCAGGTCATGATCCCAGAGTCCTGGGATCGCCAGGCAATGGGCTCCCTGCTCAGTGGGGAGCCCGCTTCTCCCTCTCCTTCTGTCCCTCCCCACCTCCCCGCTCATGCTTGCTCTCTCTCTCTCTCTAATAAATAAATCAAATCTTAAAAAAAAAAAAAAAGGGCAGAAAACTATTTGCAACCATACATGGCCTGTAAATTCTAAAATATCTACTATTTGGCTGTTTTTAGGAAAAGTTTGCTAACCCCCGTTCTAGAAGATACTATACTTTTACCAACACAGTGTAATATTGCCCAAGATCTTTTTTTTTTTTTGCAAACAAACCGCGCTATTGTATCATACTGACTTAATTGCAAGACTCTTAATTGTTCAGTCAGTATCCATTCTCCTCTCCTTATCTAACAGTAATTTATTTTTTACCTAGGAACAAAGCTACTAGTCAAAGACTACATTTCCCAGCCTGCATTGTAGGAAGGTGTGGCCAGGAGGCTAGATTCTAGCCAATAGGATATAAGTAGATGTGAATTGTAGAATTTCCTACTCCTGCTCTTAAAGGGAAGGATCATGCCCTCCCTTCCCTCTTGCCTTTCCTAGTGACTGGAAATGTGAACCTGATAGCCTTCTGTACGAAGGGTGGCAGAG